CCTTTCCCATTTTAGGGAACAGTTGCATTTTCCACAGTGCCCTGTGGATGCTGTGGAGTTCATGGCTCAGTACTACCAGGCACTACCAGAACAGCAGCAGCAGATCCATGTGGGAGGACAATAGCAGCCCACAACTTGTGTTTAAGGGAGGGAGTCTTTCAAAAGCTGGACGGCAAACTTGACAGTGATAACAAAAGTTGTCCAGGAGCCTGGTCCTGTTTCCTGGTGAAAACTGAGGCCCCAGGTTGTCATAGATCTGGAAGAAGCACAATGGCCACATAAGGTTTGATTCTTCAGCTGTGGAGCACTTCTGAGGCTGTATTTATACTTGTCCGATTCTGCTACGTACAAAGAAAAGAACCCCATTCAGTATTATGAGGCCTTTGAGATTTACATGGGTGCACTGGTGTGTAATGCTGGCATATTCTGGGCCCTCTCCAAGTACACAAGGGTGTACATATAGAGTATATTGAGAGGATTTTGTTTCCCCTTGGCTTCATATCAAGTTCCAGTAAAGATACCACCTCTGTTCTTCACTTCTCACTGGAGTGAGTAGCATTTGCAGGTGTGGCAGTCCTCTGTGACAGGGTGTTGCTTGGACAAGCTGGTTTAGGTCTTGGTTTATTCCCTCTGTCTGATGTTAATAAAATTCTTTCTCATTAAATCAAGGGCAATCGGTAATTCAGAAACAGCTATTGGGTAATTTGGCTGCACAGTCCTAGGGAAGAAACTTGTCTTCTGTCTCCTTACTGAGTTTTCCAAAGAAATCAGAATTTCTGTGCATTCAAACAGCATTAAATCAATACTGCTGAGTCTGGAGGATTTTAAAGATATCTTAGGATAGCTGTAAATAACTGGCCATAAAACACTACTGTATTAAAGTTTACTGTTCAAAGAAATAAGAACTTCACCAGTATTTTTATATATGTGTGTGTGTGTATATATATATTTATTTATTTATTTATTACATCAGTCTACACCAAGCACTGGGACACAAATACTTCATTAGGTATTTCCTTGGTACTCTGTAGAGAGTCTTCCTGTAAATAAATGAACACCAGCAGAGTAAGACAGAAGCAATTAAGCTATTGCAAGAATAGATATTTCCCAGACTTGTTTGTGAAATAATTAACTGCTGCCACTATGTTAAAGGACCTAAAATGAGGCTGCTGAAATCTGAGGCAGTTGCCCTGGACTGAGCCCTCTTCTTCCCCAAACTTTTGCAGTCAAAGATTTTTATAATTTTTTACTTCAGTTTTGGAACTAAGGCTGGAATAGCTCTTTTGGTTACACTTTGTAGTAACTTACCTAATTTAAAAGGAAATATCATGGATCTTTGAGTTTAATTTTTGTATGGATACAGTATTTTAATGCCCTTAGAATGATGAGACTATTACCCAGCACTAAAACTTGAGAGCACTCTAAGCTTGTCTTTTGCATCCTTTTGTGGAGCATAGGCTCTTCAGGCTTTAGAATATCCACTAAAATGGTAGGATTTGGTACTGTGTGGGAGAGGATGACCACCAGGAACAAAACCAAAATCCCAGACTACATGGAAGAGGAAAGCATGTTGCCCTTATACCCCTCTTCCCAGCCTGAAGCACAGCTACAAGTTACTCACCTAATATCTAGGTTTATTCTGGTGAAATCAATGCTGTTTTGACAGGACTGCATTTGGCTTTTAGTATAATGTGATTTAGCAAGGCAATAGTTCTTTAGATCAAAATGGCTGTAACATTTCCAGTACTATTAAGAAACTAATACTGCCACTTCCTTTCTCTCTCCTTGTTAACCACAAACCACTCTCTATTGGTCTTCTATATGGTAAAATTCTCCCTTGAGTTTTTGAAAGGCATGGGCCAGAACATGCATGCACCCCTGCAGAGTGCGCTGCATAGTGGGCACTGAATGCATGTCAGGACAAGAACATTACTTCTTGACCCAGCACCCACTGTTGCTGCACAGTTGAGTGGTTTCCAAAGCATTGCAAGAGCAGCACGCTTCAGCAATGGTGCTTTAATCTGTCACATCTCAATAGCTGAGATACAGCCCTGATTACCTCTTCTCTGAACAGATATAGGAGAGCTAGAGATGATATAAAGGAGAGTGACAATTAGGAGGCACAAGGAACAATTTCTATATGAGACTAGACTACACAGATAAGCACTGAGATTGACTGCAGAAAGTTAGATTTTAATAGTGGTTCTTAGTTTCCCTTCCATCATATACCTGCTTGTACAGTAGCTTTCTGATTGGTATGCTATTCCTGAAGAACTGACTTTAGGAGGAGTGAAAGCATGTGGAGAATAGTGATCTGGCTGATATAATCTACTTGCATTTCCAAAGGGCTTTTGACAAAGCTTCATATAATTTTTTTTAAAGAAAACTAAGCAGGTAGGAGATAAGAAGAAGGTAATGTTATAGAGATGTGTTTAAAAAATAGGACAAAGAGGGCAACAGTAAATGGTCAGCTCTCAGAACAGAGGGAGGTTACAAGTGCAGGGATCTGGGCTGTTGAAAATTATCTGGAAAAGGATATAAGCAATGAGGTTGAGAAAGTTTGCAGATGATACAGATTACTCAGAGGAGAGGGGACAAGGAAAACAGATTGTGAAGAGTTCTGGAGAAATGGTTGAGTGACTGGGCAATGAGACAGGGAGTGAAATCCAAGTTACGTAAAGGCATGCACATGAGGAAAAAAAATAATACCCTAAATTGATGTATAAAATAATGTCCCCTGAGCTGATCATTACCACTGATGGCCAAGATCTAGGGTTACAGATGAAACATTAGCTAAAGCAAATAGTATGTCAGAAATTATTAAGAAAGGAGCAGAGAAAGTAATATGAATCCAAAAGTCACAGAGTTGACTCTGCATGCAGTTCTGGTTCCCTCTTCTTGGTAATGGGACAGTGAGACTGGAGGAGTTCAGAGAAGAGCAACAAGGGTGACCAAAGGCCAATGCTTCCTCTTGGAGGAACAACTGAGCAGGACAGGACCCCATGGCCTGGGAAGGAGATAATTCAGGAGGAGAGGTGGTATACATCTACAAAACTCTAAGCGCCGTGTAAAGGAATGGATGGGACTTATCATTTACTGTTGACTGGGAGGAATGAAACAAAGCTACTGGGAACCACATGCTTCACCCTTCCTGGGATCCCTTCCTTCTCCAATGCTTCATGGAAAGAAAAAGCTGACCTGCTGACCTTTGCCAAAAAATACTGGCTGCTTAAAGTTGACATGAATTCAAGAGCAGATGTAACGAAATTCAGAGTGAATATCTAATTGGCTTGGTAAATACAGAGAAAACATAGATAGCTCAGGAAATTCCCCAAACTAAATATAGTTGGAGCTCAGGACGGTATTTGGGGGAAGTACTGGCTCTTCTTGGCTTACAGCCTCTCTGGAGAAAAAACTCAGGGCTGGACTATATTTGTTCTGACCTAGCACAGCCACTCTTGTATACTTATATTACAAATACCCAGTCTAATACAGGCACTTAATGCCAGTGTGGGAGCTGGCAAATGTCTGCCGAATAGTGTTGAGAAGTGTATCTTTGTCATATAGGGCAGTCTGAGATTTTTCATCAAACAGTTTCCCACTAAGCTGTGCGATTGATCCAACACAGTAACATTTGGGTTGACAGTTGCAACTTCTGCTTTCATATCCATTTCCTTCTTTCTTGAATAGTCTGGTAACAGAGCACAGTGAATATAAGAATAATTCCTCTCCTATACAATTTTAACATTTGCACTTGTTCTTAATTGTCAGGTAACTTAAAGTTATTTTCCTTAAGTCTTCTAGGCAAGAAACTGCTTTCCCCACGACATATGTGTATAACATTTTCCACTTTGTTCCCTTTCACTTTCTTTTTCCTATACAAGAGTTACTGACCCAAAGGAAATTCCTTTCTTGTGTAACTTGAAGACTTTGACTCATACACACGGAAGCAGACATCTGCAGCAGCTTAGGGCAACACTGCTTCCAGGCGTCTGCCTCTGCTAGAGGTGGCTCTCCACCACGTACAGTGACAAACAGGAACATGTGACTCTTTCC